ATCACAGCACACAGGAAATTTTCTTTACTATCTTGTTGCCTGTAGATAAGAATGATTACCATTTACCACCTTCAGATTACTGGACAGACAATAAAGAATAAATTCATTTACCGACCATTGGACCAATGGATGTGTTTAATCAGCTCACTTTCAAAACTGTGAGGGGAAACCAGAAATGGAATAGCTGGTTTTGCTTATGGCCTTACAGTGAACTGTTTCTGGTGAGACTAAAAGATAGTGGCGAGATTTTTGGGGTTGTTGCTCACTAGCTTGTCCTATCTTGTGGAAGAAATTTAATAATCATCAAGTGAAAATTCTCTTTGCAAAGGTACAGTTTCCAGTTACAAGAAATGACAGGGTTGGTCCTGGAAATTTCCTCATCTCTGTTTCTCTGGTCAGGAATTTTCTCCTGCTTCTCAAAGTGGCTTTATTCGCTGGGATGATTCAGATGTTGGTATCTGTGCAAGGTAAGCCAATATGTGATGAGAATGGAAAATCAGTTACTGATGAATTGTGATGAAATTCAGAGATGAAAAATACAAGACAGGAAGTGGCAAGACAGATTAGTGTATTTATTTCTTCCTTGATTTCTAGAGATCTCATCAATGACCTTAAATCTAACTCCACTTTTAGAGGGTTTTCTCTTTTTCTAACCCTCCTATTTATACATGCATTATCAGTAACATGGGACAAACAGTAGTAACAGAACAAGAAAACTGAAATATCAGGGGAAATAGCACGCAGTGTAGATGGGAAGGTAAGGACAGAGATTAACTGGTGGAATCAAGTATGGAATTAGTTGCAAAAAAGTACAGATACAGGTTGAAGTTGGTAGATGTGCATATTACGCACTGACATTTTGTCTCAGTCTGGCTGTGCTCTTCTCTATTCATAGAATCATAGAATCACTGAGTTCGGAAAAGACTTCCAAGATCATCCATTCCTACAATCCACCTATCACCAATATTTCCCACTAAACCATTTATTTCAGTGCAACTTATAAATGTTTCTTGAGCACCTCCAGGGTCGATGACTCCACCACATCCCTGGGCAGCCCCTTCCAGCCCACTCTTTCAGAGAAGTTGTTTTTCCTTACATCCAATTTGAATCTCTCCTGACACAACTTGAGGTCACTGCCTCTAGTCCTATTGCTAGTTACATGGGAGAAGAGGCCAACCTGCACCTCACCACAACCTCCTTTCGGGTAGAGACAAGCAATAAGGTCTCCCCTGACACTCTTCTCCAGATTAAATAGTCCTAGTTCCCTCAACTGCTCCTCATAAGACCTGTGCTTCAGACCTCTCACTAGCTCCATTGCCTTTCTCTGAACACACTCCATGTCCTTTCTTGTAGCAAGGCCCACAACTGAGCACAGTACTCAAGGTGAGCCCTCACCAGTTCTAAGTACTGAGGGCTGATCACTTCCCTGCTCCTGTTGACAACACTATTTCTGATTCAAGCTGGGATACCATTGGCATTCTTGGCTACCTAGGCACACTGCTGGCTCATGTTCAGCCAAGTGTCAGCCAACACTCGTAGGTCCATTTCCTCTGCACAATCTTTCAGCCACTCTGCAAGCCAGTAGCATTGACTGGGGTTGTTTTAGCTGAAGTGCAGAACCCAGCACTTGGACTTGTTTAACTTCATCCCATTGGCCTCAGCCCAGCTATCCAGCCTGTTTGGATCCCTCTGTCATGCCTTCCTACACCAAGGCAGATTGATACTTCCTCCCAGCTTGGTGTCCTCTGCATACTTACTAAGGGTTCACTCAATCCCCTCATCCAGGTCATCAATAAAGATATTGAACAGGACAGGCCTCAATAACGACCCCTGGGGAACAACATTAATGACCAGTCGCCAACTGGATTTAACTCCATTCAGCACCACCCTCTGGGTCCAGCTCTCTAGCCACTCTTTACCCAGCAAAGAGTTTTCTTGTTCAGGTCATGGACTGCCAGCTTCTCCTGGAGGAAGACAATGTCAAAGGCTTTGCTGAAGTCTAGGTATACTACAAATTCTGATTTGATCTTCGATGCCTGTGCTACAGGGATTTTCCAAGTGAAATGTGATGTGTTTAGTAGCTGTGGATGGGTATTTTTACCCTAAATTTGACCACTCATTTTCAAAATGCATCTAAACCTTTATTACCCATCACTGTCCTGTTGCAAGTCGTTCCTCAGTTAAAAAAAAAATCTTTCATTGTGTGAAGAAATATAATCTCATTTTTTTCTGATACGTCTACATTTCTGTTTTGAAGTGATGGTTCTAATAATGAAGAGGGGAAGGAGGGGAGAGAGTTATAAAGGAACTCTATTCTTTACAAATACTGAATCAGATTGTCAATTCAATTGAATCTGATTTCAAGTTAATATTGCATGAAGCCCTTAGATATGAGCAAGTAAAGTGGGTAAGTGAATAGGCATAGCAATTGGTAAGTGGCAATGACACATTGTTAAAAATTTTATGTTCATTTCCTACTTCAAGCAAATCATTACTATTCTTCAATGAAATTCTGTATGTGAATTGTCAGATCTTCAACTATGGGCAAAATCCACTTGCTCTAAATACAACCTGGAAATCAGAAAAACATTGCTGGAGTTCTACTACTGTCTAAGCAAGGTTTTCTAGTAGTAATGGAGTACATTCTTTTTTCAGAGTGCTGTCCTTAATGCCCATTAATTCAAGTGTTTTAGACGCTTGAGGTTTCACTAGCTTCATTTCACTTCCTTAAAAAAATTTATTATTACGATACTGTTTTGTTGACTTATGATTCTAAAGTAATTTACAGTGTTACAATTAAAAACTGATATCTTTCTACTCAGAAATGGCTGCATTTCACTGTTGGAGGATGTGGTTACTGTCGTTAGAAATTATTTTGTTCTTTGGGATTAGTAATGCTTTATAAAACGTATGTGACAGAGCCAGAATTATGGAAAGTAAATTTTTATTTTGTGCATTCCTCTTTTCTTGACCTCTTACTGAGCAGAGAAACTTTTAAAGCCAGTTCATTTTAAGAGAGAATTCAGCACCAGAATTTCAACAGCATTCCTCCATTTTCTGTGACTGAGGGAAGTTGCCAAAAAATGATCTTAACACATAAGGCAGGAAATTACTTTGTACCTGTCACCTTCAATTCCTTTTAATCTTGCCTCCCTGTGGAAGTATTTAAGCATGAGATTACTGCAAGATTGCATCGTACAAAATGCTGCTGTACAGCAGTGCTGGTGCACAAGCAAGTAGTATTCAATACATATGATAGGGATTCCCTAATTTTATGACAGTTTTTACAGATACTCTGTTTTTGTAATTTTCGTTTACTGTTGAACAATCATAGTTTCATTTCTTGTCTCACTCTTAAGTCACTGAAATCAAGAGGGAAGGAACATCAGATTGGATGTGAGCGTTCTGGCTGACTGCTCAGTTCCATTTTTCTCCTTTTTTTTTTTTTCTTCCTTAAAAAGAAGAGGAAATGGAGTACTTGTGGTACAGGACAGTGAGGAACTTGTTAGCAGTAGGACCACAGGGGACTGAAGAAAATAAATTTTGTAAATAAAAGAGGGAATACACAGCATTTTGAAGGCAACATTAGTAGGCCTATGATTGGAAAGAATTCCTTATTTAAATCTGGACAGTCTTTTTCTAGAGTAAGGTCATAAAATCTTTTCATGATGTGAGATCCTCAGGAATATTCACCTGGAGAACTGAGTTATAATGTACTGCAGTGCAGCCACCCTGCTCCTGAGGGGCTGTGACTTAAGCCATACTCCCTGTCTGGTGAGGAACCTTTTGTCTGTTCTTTTCCAGGAACCATTCCGCCAATCCTGCTGCTCAGCAGAATGGCAGCTTTCTTCAGAGAGGAAGTGTAAGGGGAGATAACTCCAGCAGAAGCTGTGGTCTGAGCTGATACTGATGGGCTCGGATAATTTTGTGCTGTTTTCAGGAACATTACAACCTGTGTCCAGAGGCTGCCACATCTTCTCTCCCTAATGGTCTGCTTTACAAATTCAACTAATTGCAGCAATTACAGGCAGGAGATGCTGCTGGCAGGAGACACCAGTATGCTTCTCTCTAACATGCTGCAGAGCATGCTGCTCATTAATTAGACCAGCAGCAACATGAAAAAAAGAAAGGGGAAAAAAAAAAAAAAGGAAAAAGAAGAAAGAAAAAAAAAAAAGAAGTAGAAAAATATCTCCATCTGGAAATGCAAATAAATGTTATGAGACTTGTTACGGCCATGAACAGTCATGGTTTGGCTCGCCAGCCATCAGTCGCAGCCAGGCTGGTCCCAGGTCACTGGCAGGCAGACAGGTCGGGCTACAAGTCAGGTGGGCATACCTGAAACATGCAGCAGTTATTTACAATGTAACAAACATGTCCTAGCTGGGTAAATGTAAATGGGATTCCCATCCCAAGGGGTGCATCAGCAGAGCAGAAAGTACTTCTGCTTGAGAGTGATACATTTACAACACAGCAGAGTTCTGTTAGCTGCCAGGGTGATGAGTATTATCTGTGTCTACCTTGTACGTTTGCCTTTGCAGGAAGCATGCTTAGCCTGGGAATGCCTCATCTGTCCTGGCTGTCAGTGGGTGCCTTCTGGCAGGCCACACGTGGCTCTGGTCCTTATCGAGGAGTGCAGCGTGCTCCAGACACGCCCTTTGCTGGCTGCCGGGGCCATGTGCCAGCCAAGCAGGTGTCAGGCCCATTGCCCTGCTGTGCTCAGCAGCACAGTGCCATCCATTGCCAGCCGGAACCACGCGGCAGGCCACACCTGCGCCCACCTGAAATATTCAGCAGCACAAGTCCTCCAGCAGGGGAATCCAGCTCCTTGCTGCACTGGCATAGCTGGAGTTCTTGGTGCAATTTAAATATTTTAGAAGTTTTCTATTCTGAAACATTTTTGTCAGGTACTTAGCCGCCTCTAAAACAGCCTCTTGATGTGCAAGCATCTGATATCTTTCTCTTCTATTCTTTTTCCTCTCTTCCTGACCTTTGTATGCCAGACAACAGATGACATTGTTTCATCCGCTGAATGTTCTAGCGATGATGAAGATTTCATTGACTGTGAACCCAGTACAGGTAAGTCAGGTCAGTCTTCTTTTGCTTGCTTTCTGATTTAATTTGCAAAAAACAATGCATACATATATTTATATGTGTGTGAATGTATACATATATTACTATATGTATATATATGTGTGTGTATATGTGTATATATATATCCTTATGTATATATACACTGTATATAAAATAAAAATTGTACAGCCAAGCATCAGATCCCATGGACTTGGCAATAGCAAAGCAAAGATATTTCATCACTGATTGGTTAAAATAAAGTTATTTGCACAGAGAGCTGTACTTCTTGAAAGTGATTCTAGCTAATTAATAGTTTACATATTTGTGGGAGTCACTTTACTGACACAGTGGAAAATCAAAAATATCAACATGGCATGTGGCAAATAATAAAGATTTATAAAGTGTGGGGGAGTTAATGCTTGAAAACCAGAGCAGGGAAACAAAAATGAAACAATACTGGTATGTTAATGCTGTTTACTCTTCATTAATTGTATTGAAGTTGGACTGTGCAAGGACACATTTGTCCATGGGATTTTGAGTGCAGTTGACCTGGTAATACATTTATACTAATTTTGTTCTCTATGAGCCCAAAGAAATTGAGGAGCATCAAAACATTGTTCCAACATAACAAAATTAGTAGTAATTCTTGCCATGTTATCTGCAATGATGCTTCAAAATGTATCCATTAAAGAGTCAGAAGGACTGGCCATGTGGAACTGACTCAACTTCTTCCCTTCCAGATACATTTTGATAAACTGATGGCTATTCTTTCTGGTGAGATATATGATGTGATATCCAGCAGGCAACTGCAGTCTATTTTATTTCTTACAGGCTTTTTCAAATCGTCTTTTTTGAGGCTTGCCATGAGTTAAGCATTCTATAATAGAGAACAGACATCATTGAATTTCTGTGTACATTTTTTAAAAAGAGGGAGTTTGCGTAGAATCTTATGTCCTTAAAAGTGAAACATATAAATAGCTTAGGTTTTTGTGTTTTTTTTTTTTTTTGTTAGTTTTGTTTTGGTTTTTTGCTTGTTTTATTATCTATTTGGGATTTTTTTTTTCTTTAAAAAAATCCCCAGAATGCATTATAAATGTTCTGTCCCTAATTTCCTAAAGCCATTTAATTAATACAAGATTAATACTAAAATTCACCCAAGGCTAGAGCTTTCATATTTCTGTTCAATTTGTCATGTTGTGCCTGCATTTTTTGGTAGAACTTGGTCCTGTCAGTAACCTGAGATTGGTAATGTCTTGTAGCTGGAAACTTCCACCATGCAGCTGCCTTCAAACTCAGTTGGGAAGGGAGTGACACAATGACTTGGCTAGCAGATACTTCAGTCTACTTCCATCTCCTTTTTTCACAAATCTCTGTGTTTTTAACTCCTCACTTGGCAAAAGAGCAGTCCAAATATTACTGGATTGTAAAGCATAGTGTTGGTACCAGAATTATAAATAAAGGCGATCGTGAAATACCAGCATAATGATTATCATGAAAGTGAGTCATGAGTTTTACAGGACCGTGCTAGGAGGAGTAACGTACCACAGTCATTTGCAAATGAGTGGGTAAGACTCATTTCATTAATGCTTCACGTTTCAAGATATCAGGTGGGGTTTTTTTTGTTTGTTTTGTTTTCTTTTTTAATTCTGATTTCCAATAATTTCAATTAAAGGAGGAAATGGGTTCTTCATCAGACTCCTATCATATATTTTTGTTACTTATGTTTCAACACAGAAATCACAGTTACTTCAATAACTATGAATGACAATAATAATATTTTCAGCATATGCAGTAAGTGGAAAAATCAAAGTTGGAGGAGAAATGTGATAAAACAGGATGTTTAATATGAAATTTCAGGATGCCAAGTTTTTCATACTAAAAATACCTGACTCCTGACACAGTTGAAGATACTCTCCTAAGCTATTACATATTCTTTTGCCAGATCCTGTTCCTCTTCCCCTGGATGCTTGGTCCTCATCAGCCATTGAGTTATGAATTTCTTCTCAGGAATTACTTTAGCACTGAGAATAAAAGTCAGCTTGATGACATGTAAAAAACATTCTCCCAGATGGTTCTTGCTGATGAGATTTACACTTCCAAATTTTGAGGATCCCAGCTCTCAGAGGCACTGGTGTAAAAGTTGCCAGAAGGCAGAAGGCCATGGAGGTCCCTTTTGCCTCTAAAAGTGTAAATCTAGTTAATTCCATCACGATAAGAAGGAACAGTAACAGGTTTGTGGTGCTCTTCATTTAGGTTTCTTTGAATGCCTTTTTCTCACCATTCCCACTGCATGCAGGGATTGCAGAACAGTGCCTGCAGTGCACCCAGTAATGAAGCACTCCCACAGCCTGTGCCACAGGAGAGCACTAAAGCAATCTGAGCCAGCTTATAAAAATCCAGTGGTGCTGACTTGGCTGAGCAGTTAACATTTGCCTTTCCACTTCACCAGCCAAGTCAGGACTCTGGCCATACGCCAAGGTCTGCTGCTTAAATGTATATACAATGAGCAAAGAAAAGAGCCAGATCATTTTGCCTGTATTTTCTAGTGTGAGATTCTGTTGCTGTTGGTTTTTTAATTGGGCCCATTTGAAGTTGCTTCCTCCTGTTCGGTTGACAGGTCAGTGTATTTTACACCGCCTTCTGGCTTGCCTGATCGCTTTTGCAGCAAATTGAAAATGAAATGACTCAACCCAGCACAGGCCCTTCTTTGTTGCTCTGATAATGTGTAGTTTAAAAGCTCTTGAGTTTCTGCCAAACACCAGGAGTTGGCCTTCCATCACCCTCAGTGCTACGGTCCAGTAATGCAAAGGTTACTGAACTCACTACTGCAGCTGTGAGATATGAGATACATCACTGTGAACCTGCTGTGCTATAACCAAGACAAGGGCAGCTGAGATGCCGCCCTGCAAATCAAAAGCGTTCAGAATTCATATGAGTCAGAATAAAATCCCAAGTTCTAAATATATTACTTTGGATTTGGTCCTGGATCAGAGATGGCACCCTACAGAGCCCATCTGAAGACTTTGGTATCAACACACTCAAAGATAGTTCATAAGAGATAAAAACATGCTCTCTTTGAGGCTAAATATCTTATGAGAATCATTTGCTAGATCTTATTGCCACTTAACTCTGATTGTCTGTTGAATCCAAGCCCTGAATCACAATAAACATATGATACACATCTTCATCTTGCATCTCTTTAAAGGAAGATAGAGGTAATTTCTTCACTCCACTCTGGATTTCCTTGGCTACCTCAAGACACTGTAGCAGGCTGGTTACAGCCTGTGCCCTCTTTCCAGAATTGGTTTCTGGTGGGATTTCTGTAGCCCTGGAGTGGCAACAGGAATCTTGTCCTGACTGAGGCAGCTTGCAGGCATCCCCTTTAAGCACGGGTGTGCATGAGGAATTATTTTAAGTGGTGGCAATGATAGCAGTGAATCAAAAAATCTTCTGCCTTTTACATAGTGAAGTCATTGCAGCTTTAGGGATAAAAAGTGTGTGATATTCATCTTATTGCAGACAAGCCTAGATATTGTTAAATCTTGAGATCCATCAGGATGACTTACTGTAAAGGATACAAGGGGCACCCAACTGTTCATCTACCTTGAAGAAACATTTATTTCGGAGATCAGTACTCCTCTGTGGGAAGTGTCATTTGTCCCAAAACATGTTTGACACGGTGCTTTTCTCTGGAATGAGTACAGAACTCTGTTCTGGCATATTCCAGAAATCTGAGGATCAAATCTGCAGATTTCTCAAAGCTGAGGCCAGGGTACTGAATTTGCACTTTTGAACAGGCCTGTTTCAGTGGTTTCTTCACTAGGCAGCTGTCAGAGAACAAAAGACCTTGTAAGGGTAACCCTTAAACTGAGCTACATGGCTTGGGGCAGGATGCATCTCTTCTTCGATCTTGTTGCTAGCTTCTCCTTCCTATCTGCCTGATGATTTCCTAGGTAGATATTTTCCCAATTTATTCTGTGTATTTTGTTTCCCAGATGGCTGCATACATCATAATGCTGGCAGTTTAGGAAGCCCTTCCCATGAGATATTGCACACAGCAGTAGAGAGGCCCAAAAAGTACAATACCTTGTACTGGAAGTTATACAGTGCTGGATAGCATATGCCTATACTCAAGAGATGTGTGTCCTTCAGGTATAGTGTCTATCAATAATTTATTGGCCTGCACCCATCCACTTCAGGCTTCTGTTTTATGGGTTAGAATGATCAAGCTTCCACTTACATAAGCTGGAGAATCAAGTACCTGCAGGCATCCAGGATCACAGATTTATTTGCAGAAACAAGCAGAATCTCTCTTCCAAGAATCTGCAGGAAGCAAATGTAGTATACATAGCACTATACTGAAAGTGGAGAAACCTGGGCTGAAGAGGCCAAGAGATTTGCTAATTTGACTCCTGCCCTCCATGATCCTTTTCAAGATTTTTGAAGCATCCTGAGAATTTTCACTGCTCTCTTTGAAGAAACACTGTCTCCAAATCCTGTGGTCAGCTATCCCTAGTCTCTCCATCTGTGAAGCACATGAACCTCTGTTTCATTTCTCATACTGTGAGCAACATACTTTAAAATTGGGTGCGTGTCTCAGAGTGTGCTGAGAAGTAGCCTTTTTATCTTCCGGACTGAATGCCATACCAGTCTGAAGGAGGAAGTTTGCTCTGTGGTACTTGCCTGTGTGTAATAGCAACATTTGTTTGGTGGAATTTCCTAGCTACATTCTTATGGCCATTAAAAAAAAAAAAAAAAAAAAAAAAAAAGAATGAACAGGTTTTACCAATCAATCATGCAGACGATTTACAGGAAGTTTTATTTTTTCTTTATGTTAGGAATTTGAATTGAGTTTGGTTTTCAGCATATTGGTCTTTTTTTTCTATGTACACTCCAAAGGCCCTACCTATGAAGATATTTTATCTGTATATGTACTATATACAGTGTGTGTATATATACATACATATGTATATATGTATATACTATAGTTCTAAATGACCAATATC